TTGTACAAGGATTTTTTTTTTTTTTCTTTTGCCCGGCTGTTGCTCCTCGAGTTTGCGTCCAGCAACTGCATACATCTCCTAAGCCTAAAGTATATGCAACGAGGCTGCCATGGGACCCCGCGGGCCGTTCACCGAATTCGCGGAAATACATCTCGAAAATTCTCTCGTTTTTTAACATAATTCGTTCAAACGCCGTTTCTAACGCTTCGCATTAGAAGTTCGGAAAAGGGTTTTTTTTTATTTTCTTGGGCGACGTTTGAAAATCGTGTCGGACGACGCACGNGGGGGGTTGAAGGGTGGGAGTGGGAAGGGGTCCATGATTTACAATTACACGGACCCCGTGACGCGCACGTCGGATCGTACGAAAAACTACGAAACAATGAAGGAACGTCGTAATCTCTGTATGAATCGGACGTGATCGTAATTATCGTTATTATTAAACAACTTTTCTCCCTCCAAAGAACTTCTCTTTCTCTTTCATCGAGACGCGTGAATTTCTTTCTCTCTCTCTCTCTCTTGCATACGCACGCGCGCATACACACATGCTCTCTCACTCTCTCACTCTCTCTCTCTTTCCTCTCTCGTTCATTTCACTCGTACACTCGTCAACCGATGCGCACACGTTATTCTCTTTCTTCTTCTTCTTTTTTTTCTTTCGCTCTTATAATTTCGTTTCTTTCATTCTATACAACGAACGTTTTTTTTTTTTTTATTTTCTTTTTTTAATTCATATTTTGAGGGGCTCAGGGGGTCCGGCAGGCTAGCCACAACATTTTTCTCGTGTCTATCTTTTCCACGAGATACGGGTACAATCGTTCGAAGTTTTTTTTCTTTTTTTTTTTTTTCTTACGGCTAAGGGTATTTAACACAGTATATCGCGGGGAGTATAACGCGTTAACGGATGACGCGCACACCCCACTTCCGCCCGCTTCTCTTGTTCTCCGTTTTCTAAGCTTATACTCGATATAATCTCTAGTTGTCGGCTAATATTATCTTCTTACACATTTATATCTGGTATGTATATATAATATACATATTCTTGTGTTATTATACGTGTGTGTATATATACATATACATATGTAGACGTATGTATGTATACACATATAGATGCGCGTGTTGGTTTCTTGTAGTCTTTTTTTTTTTTTTTTTAATATATATATATATATTTATATGATCATATACATATGTTATTTTTTTTTTTTTTTTAAGGTATGCTCGGTGACTACGCTTACGGCTCCTATTTTTTTTTTTTTTTTCTTTTTGCTTTCCTCCGCTGTGTGCATTATTCATCTTTTACAAATTTTTCTTTTTCCTGTTAAACATTCTTGTGTTAAACGCCCGAACTGTTTTCACGGTTCTTCGCATTCTCGGTATTCCGGAGTGGCTTGACTGCTGCCTTCCTACCCTTATGCTAGTTTCCCTGATTCACGAGAAGAGTTACAGATGATGATTGCATTCAAGCAATGACGACTTTTTATTTTTTATTTTTTTCTTTTTTCTCTTTGCAAAGATTCAGACTAGACTTCCATCAACGGCGTACGCCGTTCAGTTTTCTACGTGGATAAAGAAAACCGTGCATGTCGCCCGTTCTTGTTCTTTCTTTTCTTCTTCTTTTTGAAAACAGTTTCAAAACACTCGAACGAATTATTTTTTTTCCTGCGTTCGTACCTCCACTCTCCGCGCTATTCGAATTCGAAACGAAAAGAAAGCGAAATTCTACATCAATGATAAAAGCAGGGATTCTCCGCTATAAAGTATTAGCTTAGTTTCTTTGCTCGATCTAGACATAAAAGACGTCGCGATTAACAATTAATTAGACGAAGTTCGATCGGCTATCAATCTACCGGCACAATTTCCACGTTTCCGTAGAATATCCGACGCGTTATCATATTTGTACAACGTTAAACAAGCGCAAAACGGTTAAATATATAATTTTGTTCGTTCAATTATTATTCATTTATTTTTCATCTTCATTTGTACAAACGCGAAATCTTCTTTATACACGAAGAACAGATAAATACTCACTGTGTCGGGGTGCTATATGGAAATAGCTGTGGCTAAACGTACAATTTATCTAAATCTTGGTTATCTATAATTTCCTACAATTTCGTATCCCCCTAGACTCTTGCCTACATACGCGAAACGACTCTAAATATGTACAACGTTGGATCGTCGTTCATTTACTGTATATGTATATATGCCGTGATGTTGTTTGGCCCGTATCATCTCAGAGTAACATTTCTAAATAAATGTAACTACTCTTAAACAATGTTATTTTTTTTTTTTTTTTTTTATAGGACGGTAAGATAGGTATACGCAGCCTGTGCGTCTGCGTATGGTCGAAGGAACGGTCGACGAATTGTGTAAAATAAAATCTCTACGTAAAATAATCCTTCCCTCTATTATCTTATTCAACGATGATAAATCGAAGAAAAGAAAAATTTTCATAAAATAAAAAAGTAA